AATTTTGGAAAACCTGTTAGAATTACTAAATTAAGTAAGCCAAACCTCTGGTTACAAGGTTAACATCCAAGATAAATATATAAGAACAAAATAATTTCCGTGTTTCAACAATAAACAAATACAATAGGAAATTCACAAAACTATCATTTCAGAGGCATTAAATACATCAAATGCATAGGAATAAAATTACTAAAAAACTGTAAACTCCTACATTGAAAGCTGCAAAGCACTGCAGAAAAAATATAAATATTCTAAGTACATGGAGGCATTACTACATGTTTGTGAACTGGAAGCTCTATTATTATAAATAAATAGCCCCCAAATTCCACTGGGTTCAATCCAAGATGTACAAAGAACGCTTACAAATAAATAAGAAATAAAGGCAGAATACCCATTAGAAAAATGAAAAATGGTCTTGACTATACTGCCTATCCAAATGGACAACAAACAATCCAAACGAATCAGCTGAGAGCCTGGGGAGCACCTGGGGAAGCGGCCCTATGTCCTGGAAAGTGAAGGCACACCAAGACCCCGGTTAAGACTAGGAATACAGGCGTGAGAACCAGCTGGGTGGGGGCCAGGGAGGATGGGCTCTCGCAGATCCAGGCTGCAAGGCCCCAGGCACCAGCCAGGAGGGAGTGGTCGCTGGCATCTCCAGCTGGGTGGGAACCAGGAGTGGGAGCCGTGGTCTAAGCTGGGGTCTAAAGCGACGCAGGATGAACAAGGGCAAAGAATGGAGTGGCGAAAATGGAGACAGAACAAAGAGGAGAAAAAGAATTGGAAAGGTCTCAAAGGAATGTAAAAACTGGTGTGGCAGTGGGCACAGGAAAACAGACTGAAGGAGGAGGCCGCTGAGCAGAGAGAGGCCCAAGGCCGCCCATGGCCCGACGGGCTCCTTCTTGGGCAACGCCTAGTTACCCGAGTTGCGCACCTACCTGGCTGCCAGATTGCCAGAGCCTGTGCCATCTTCTGTGGACACGATGGAAGTGTTCCAAGACGCCAGGCCTGTGGATGGGAACTCGGCCCAGTGGTTAAGAAGCAGCAGCTTGCGCACAGACTGATACTGCGGTGCCTGGAGTGGACTCTCTACCTAGGAAAGTCTTCTTCCCCAGGCACCAACTTTTACAGGTTTTTTTTTGGGGGGTGGGGTGGGGAGTGGTCTCAAATGTCTTGGACAGCCCTCACCACATGCGTTGGAATAAACAGAGTTTCAAGAGGGTATCGCGGTGGATGAGTGCACCCACCAGGCCACAACGCCTTTGTCAACTGTGGCTTGAAAAAGAGGAGTGTAAAGAGGCAGGAATGGGCACACTGCAGGTTTTCTGATCCCATGCAGACTGGGTAAAGGAGGAGTCAGAGTCCTCAGTGGTTTTGCAGGTCTTTTACTGGGGTTCAGCAGGTACGTGCAAGGCAGAGGTGCTGGCTGAGGGGGCTGGGAGGCTGGTAGGCCTCCCAGCAAGTCTTCACTCTATCTGGACTCTCTGGTGTTCGTTCTGCTGCTTCTTGGCTTCTGCTTCGGCTTCTCCTGGCATCCCCGTGACGCCGCCCTTAAAAGCACAGTCTTAGCCCAGGTGTACCCACTCCAGGTGCCCGCCATCAGGCATGCATTCAGGATCACAGGGTTCCCTCATCTATCCTGATGGCGGGAGGACAGAAAAGCCTGATATTTTTCCTTACCCTACAAGGAGGAAACTGGGGTTCAGAGAAGTTGAGTGACCCTCCACCCCCTCAGACTCCTAAAGGTAGAGGTAAAGATTGATGAGAATGTGGAGCCAGGACTCCTGGTGACAGTCTGGAAGAGCAGACCCAGCAGCTCTTGCTGCGTCAGGCGCCCTGTGCTCAGAAAGCGCCGTAGGCCCCAGCTGAGCTGCATGAGCCTGGGCCATGCCCCGGAAGGCAGCTTTGATTGCCCACCCTGGTGTAGCCAGGTTTGGGTTTCTAAGTATTTATTAAAAAATAGATAATTGGAGAAATTTTCTAATTTATCAAGGTGTAAATATTTATACTTATTTGACCCACAAAAATCACAAAGGTCAATTGTACTAAGAAATAAAAAAAATCAGAAACCTAAATGTATTGTCATCAAAGAAAATCCAAACAAGATTATTTGTCTTGGCTTCATGATCCTTTGTTTTGTGTTAGTGTCGGTTATTTTCCCTTATTAAAGATACCTGTTTAAAAGATGCACAAAATATCTTTCTGACTCTGATTAACTTAGAGCTTTTTTTTGTTTTTTACATAAATTTATTTTTTCAAATTGAGGTAACAATTGAGGGTGCCCCCCAGCCAGGTATCGCCACTATAATGCACCCACAACAGAACTGCTCCTAGTCCACCAACATCATCCATTGTCCTTCCAGTTTTGTTCTTTACCCCTCCCTCTCCCTCAGGATGCTTCAGTTCCATAGTCAGTTTTCAAGGGTTAGTTTTTAAACTTGTCTTTATCAGACCCTTAGTTTGGTTTCTCTCCATTCTGGGTATTGGTGACATCATCTAGTATCTAACTTCTGATTACTTCACTTAGCATTATCCCTTCCAGCTCCATCCATGTTGCCCCAAATGGCATCAGTTTATCTTTTTTGATGCTGAGTAACAGTCCATTGTGAATATATACCACATCTTCATCCACTCCTCTGTTTTGGGGCACTTAGATGGTTTCCATAACTTGCCTATTGTAAATAGCACTGCAATAAACATGGCAGTTCAAGTCTCATTTTGATTTAGTTTTTTTGAATACATAGCTGGGAGTGAAATTACTGGGTCAAATGGCAGATCCATACTGCTTTCCATAGGGCTGAATCAATCTATATTCCCACTGAGAGCTGCTTTTTTAAAAAAAGTTGTATTGGGCCTCCCTGGTGGTACAGGTGGTTGAGCGCTGCACTGTGAAGCTGTCCGCAGCCTCTGCAAAGCGAGTTCAATTCCCGCCAGCAGGGGAGAATCCCACATGGCGAAGAAGACCTCTCCTGTCTTGCCCACTGCTCCCCTCAGCAGTGTATTTCGTCAGTCTGTCTGTTCTGTTCCCAGCTCTGTCTCTGGTGAATACTTTCACCCTCCCACACATCTGGCCTGTACCCCAGTGCTTGTATAAAAATAAATAAAAATCTTAAAAAATAAAAAGTTGTATTAACAGTTATCACATTATTTCATAAACAGAGTTACAATATTTTCAGTATCTTCACAATATCTTTTACTTAGAGGGAAAAAAAAAGTCTTAGGAAAAAAATATGTCAATGTAGTGAGTAGTTGAACTGGGTTTAGTGCACCAGAGACTTCAAATTACTCTAGAGATGGAATGCTGTTACTCTGCTCAATGTGGGTCCTGTGTTATACAGCTGCAGAAGTCAGACATAAGCCCAGAAGTCAACTGCTGTTGCTTTTAATTTGATGAAAGCTGATGATTGGTACCAGAGTGGGTGCCCAGTTCTGCTGCCCTGTCTGTTGACCTCACTAGAGAAGCTATAAGTGCTCTTAACTCAAGGGTTGAACAAAACTCCCCTGATTGTCCTTACATGGCTGCAGAATTCTTCTTTGAATCAGTGGAGTATTTTGGAGATTGCTCCTGAACAAGTTTCCTCCCCACCCCAGCTGAAGCATGTAGCAGACCACTATTTCAGTACAGAAATATTGGAATGAAAGCACTTTTACCCTTCCCCCACTGGCAGAATATTTATATTTAATTTCATAATTTATATTTTAAACATTTGGTCAGATATTAACCACATGGCTACTCTAGCTGCAAATGGATCTGAGCAATGTAGAATTTGTTAAATAAAAACAAGATTTTGTTATTAGAAGAGAAAAATGAATATTAAGGTAATTAGTTAGCTAGTACTCTGTGAAAAATATCTTGCTAGGCACCTGTAAACATTAACACAAAATAACATCATGTAATTTTAGTTTTTATAAAATCTTTCAAGTAATTGTTGCTTAATTTGAAATAATTCTGTTGGGCAGAATGATCATCCTCTACCCCAAGTTTTTGGCTGGGATGTACCCCAAAACTCAGTCTCAGAATTTCCATGAAAAACCTCAGATATACTGCTTTTAAAGGAGAATTATACAATCTTCTACTAGGGATATATGTAAAGAGCATTAAATTAGATTGGCTAAAACCTGAAATTTTTCTTGTAATAGTTCTATGACTTTATGACTCTCTGAACTTTAATTCTTGCAGCTAAAAATAATTACTATAATTACTGAAGTTTTGAATTGCAAATGAGAAAATGCAAGAAAAATGCTGTGACATTTAGGAAGTATTAAATATCAATATGCAATAAGATAGTAGGATATGTCCATCTATTGCAGTATATTAAAATAATATATGTAAAATGCTATATATAGATCTCCTAGAGTGTTGTTGACAATAGGTAAATATTTGTTTAAAAAATCAAAAGTGTAAATTTTTTAAAAGTTGGGAGATTTTGCCTTTATTGATGTACTTTTCTCATCGTATTTTTGAGTACATGAATGGATTAGTGTAAGGTATCTACTTGCCTAAAGGATGTTGCTAGGTGTTGTTCAAATATTTTAAATATGGAGGTTATTAGAAGTGTTAAGAAATCAAAATTTAAGAACACCAATAACCTAATTATTCATAACTACAGACTTCACTTAGAGAGTTTGACACCGTGTTCATACCCAATTTCACAAACCAGAGCCATTAAAAACCTGAATAAATAAACCTATAAAACCCAAAACTAAACACATATGCATGCATGCACCAGACACTGATTGCTGAGGTCAACGTGAAATAGACACTAGGAAGAGGGAAAATATGCCATTTCTGTTAACTGAAAAATAAAAAGCCAAAATGAAAGGCAATCAAGTGTTTACTAGGAATTAAAGACCTATAATGTGGAAGACATCTAAAATGTACCCCAAGGAGGGGTAAAAGGTGGGAAATTTTATTGGAAGAAAAGGACAATGAAGAAAATGGGTTAAGGAAAAGAGTCAATTAGTGTTAAGAAGATTAATTTTTTTCTTCTTTTTGTAGGTCTTATGTTCCTTCTTATTTGTATCAAAACACATACCAAACAATGAGTTTTGGGTTGCAGAAGAGGATTTATTCTCTGCACCTGTCTCAAAGTCTCTCCAACAAACACAAACAAACACATGTGCTGTGGTAAAATGCAGTATCTATCAGACATAACCAGCAGTGTACAGTGGTGATAGAAAGTAGTAGTTGAAGTTGTACACATAGTCTCTTGTTTAAGATGGATAAAAATGAGTGTCAGGTAACCTAAGTGTCCCCGGTAAATGATGTTTTTTTCAACATTACAACCTCTGCACTCTTCTGACTCAATGCTTATGTCACAACACCTTTAAGCTTACTTGTCAAGCATAGGCAAAAAAATGATTATTTCTGGGAAAATCTCAATTTCTCTACCCAAGGTTTTTGCCAATAATGTTTATTGTTTATGAGTTTCTCTTGACTACCTCCTTAGAAGGTTCAGCCTTCAAGTATGGATCAAGTATGCATGTATTCACGTGGCATGTTCCTTTCTTCTGTGCTATTGTCATTTTGTCCTTAAATAATGGGTCTATGTTTGTCCTTGTTCAGTTCTTTGTGGATGTTTTCTTTATATGGTGCTTATTATTTTCCCATTTAGAAACATTTGGGTGAATGATGAAATGCCCTCATTTTATTCTATTGTTTGAAATTAAAAAGACACAGTGTATATATACCACTTACCCTAACGCTGCCTTCAAAAGCAAATACCACTGTGGCTTTGGTGATTTATGTAATACAGAGAAACAAAACATAGAGGCAGACACCACCAAAATAAAACAAACCCTGAAATCTGACTGCAAAATTTAGGTGACCAGAGGGGCTAAGGGTTGGAGGAAAGTGGGGAGGAGGCACAATGGATATGGTAGAGGGCTGAGGGTACCTTGGTGGTGTGCATGATAAGGTACATACACATGAGGAGGTAGGATCCTATATTTCTGAATCAATTACAATGTTATAAATCAATATTGTCTAAATAAAAATAAATAAAACCACTCACCAGCCAATGAATCAAATATCTGTGATACTAAGTGTACCCTCTACCCCCAGAGAGGTTTATTCTACTTGTAAAGTAGGTTTTCATGAGAGAGAAAGTGATATATGAGTGCATATATTTACCACAAGTAAAGCGATGCAGGGCTAGTTACGTTAAAACATGAATATTGTTTTCCCAAGATAACTTAGACTATGTGGATTTTATCATCTTTCCAATTGTATACCATTTTTAGGTATCTTCTGTAGTCAACTATCTGCTGAATTCCATGCCCTCAATATCAGATATGGTAAGGCAAATAATAATAAATAATAATAATAATAATAATAAATAATAGTTTAAAGAACCACCATTTTCATCAAGCAGTTTTTGTTACATCTCTTAAAACTTTCTTCTGGTGCCCCAGAAAGCTCTGGAGAAGCATAACATGTTTAATAAAGGGAAAAAAAAACATTTTTCTTTCTAAAGAATTCTTTTTGTAGAGTCAGAAGGATGTATTCCCAAACTCAGAAAGAAAAGAAAACTATGTTTATAATCTAAAAAGCAATGACATTCTGGAAATTTTGCTCAAGTTCTATAGCCCTTAATGAAGTAGCCTACTAGGAATTCTATTCATGCACACAAACAAACTTGTCCAAAGTAATTCTAAGAAACAAGATATTTGGTACCTAGGTAATTCCCTGAAAAGATAGTGTGATACAGAAGGCTTTGGGGAAATTGCAATGCCTCCCCCCATTCTACTCAAAACTCTGTGTTATGTATGCATCAAAAACCAAAAAATAATATTGTTATATGTAACAATACTTCTATTTTCTTTTTTTTCATGTTTTATTTATTTATTTGTTCTGTTTATACATGCACTGGGTACAGTCAGAAGTGTGGGAGGGTGAGAGAATTCACCAGAGCCAGAGCGGAGAGCAGAGCAGGCAGAGGACCAAAGTACACTGCTGAGGGGAGCAGCGGGCGGCAGGAGAGGTCTGCGCGCCATGTGGGACCCTCCTCTGGTGGCGGGGAGCAGCCGAGGATCGAACCGGCGCCAAGGCAGCTTCGCAACCCAGCGCTCAACCGCTGCGCCACCGGGGAGGCCCTGTAACAATACTTTTAAACTATTCTCTCTAAGCTGTGGAAGGACATAATAAGGTAAAGTATTAACTAAAGTATTAAATTTAACTTAGACACTGAGCAATGGCTACAGAGTACTTCATCTGTATAAAAGGAGGACTAGCGAACAAAAGAGATAATAGGGAATAACCCAAAAATCATTGATGAAAGTATGATTCCTATCTTGGGGAAGATCCAAACACCTGAAATTAATGAATTAGGTGCCCATTTTTCAGCTCATTCCAATTTGATAAAAATACCCTGTGCTAACCAAAACAAAAGAGAATAACTTCACATCCAATTTTACATAGAATTCTTCAAAGGATAATTCTCTTGGTCTAAATGCTCATGAGATATTTACTCTCAAACATCCTCCTATCAAAAGGAAAGAACTCTTAGGAACATAAATCTGAAAAATGAAAATAATCACCTCTCTTCTTATGTCATTTATCCATTTTATTTGACAACTTTAACATACATAAAGGTATGTATGGTGGAGAGAAGAGTTGATTAAACATATCTTTAACATGACCACCTCTTTATTTTCTCTTATTTGCTAAGTAAAATAATTGGGGGGCTAAAACCATTTGCCACAGAGGAAATTACTAAGCACTCTTAGTACAATGTACTAAGTACATTGGGGTTTGTTGAATTCAGAGCCAGCAACAAAATCCATGAGTAAGATGAAAACTATTCTCTATTTTCACACTCACTCTCACAAAGACTATATACATTGTTTCATAGAAATTCAGTAATTCCTTAAAAAGCACTATCAAAACTTTGCATATTTAAAACCCTTTTTCTTCCCCATTTCCTTCTAGCACTAAATAAATGTTGAATTAATTATCACAGGCTTTTTGAAAGAAACAATGCTGCAGCCGACTCATGTACTCCAAACAAATATAAAAGACAAATGTGTTCATGGAGAAAGTTTACCCCAGCCTACCTTAAGGGACAAATATGCAAAAAGAGGAAAAAAAAAAAGGAAAGAAAACATTCCACTCGTTCTATTAGTAGATCCAGGTGTAGAAACTCCAAACAGCTTGGGAATTAATGATGACAGATAGTTAAGAAGACCTATAATCTCTATCTATGTCCCTCTGACTATGAAATACTACTACAAACCACAGGAAGTTGACTGAAGCTGTCCAGGAGTGTAAATTCTTTCTAGGCACTCTCCTGTGACCACTGTGTCTTTGAAGGTAGCATGGAGTTTCACTGGTGTATAATATATTTGGTCATATTTCTAAATAAAGGAAATTACGTAACTTGTCCGGTAACTACCTGCTGACCACACATAACTGGATTTCTCTTAAGCACATCAGACATATTTTAGACCAAATTCATTATATTTTTCCCAAATATTTTCCAATTCTCTATTTCAGTAAATAATACTTTGCACTGTTTAGTTTCCTAAGAGTCGTTTCTATTCATCAACATTCAATCTATTCATTACATATAGACATAAAAATGCATTTGTTTAGTACCTACTATAGTTCTCAGACTGTGCTAGACTCTGAAAGCACAAAATCAGTTAAACTTAGTTTTTAATCTTTAGAAATATAAATAAATAATGAAGTATTAGTGCTAAATACCATGATATATCTATGCAAAAGGGAATACACAACCACATAAGTGACATCTAAATCTGATTAGACATTAGGAAAAGGTTTTTAAATGAAAAAGTGTGTTTGAAGAAAATGTAGAAACTAGCTGCACAAGAAAAGGGGAGTCCTCTATGTAGTCAAAGGAAAAATAACACATTGAGACAAATAAATGTGAATTAAGAGATGTGGGAGGAATAAGAAGGAACAGGAAATGCAAGAAAAATGAATAATAATGAGAGAATAAGGCCCAAATGATAGACATGCCTGTTCAACAAAGATTTTATGTTGCAGCTTATGTGGGTGTATTTATGCATATGTGCATTTTATAACTAGTTGATTCTTGGTGAAAATAAGAGTTTGGGAAATATTATTAGTCAAAATAAGAAATCAGTGGCTTCAAAAATTGATTGAAGGTAGTTTTTCTGGTAAATTGATTTCAAATAAAGTAAATGTTTGGAGTAAAACAAAGGATATTCATGTTGGAGTTATGAAGTAAAAATTAGAAGTATTTACCATATTTTTATATGTAAGAAAAAACAGTGATAGTGAAGAAAAGTCAAAAGACACAAAACAGAACAATTTTGTTGTAAATCAGCCCCTGGTGAGAGTAAAAGAGATTTTGGTGCTGAATGCTTCAATTCTCAACCAGATTAAAGAGCAGTAGAAACTAACTTCCACTCTCCCTACCCACTGGTCTCATATAACACTAAGCAGATTATTCCCAGACTTCTTTAGTTAGCAACATACATTCTATAACTTCATCCTTGAACAGTTTCAAAACACCAACTTCTTTCTGTAGATTGCATAATGAAGTGCTATCTATAGCACTTGCTCAAAACTTTCTATCGTGCCCTATGTTCACCATCAGTTTTTTAAAATATCCATAAGTTTTCTACATACTTAGAAACATTAAGTTACATTCAGTTTTCAAAGCAGTTAGCTACAAGGCACTAACTTCTCTTTCCATGCCAGATGACTTCGGACTCTCTAGAGCTTTGTGCTTTCGCTTGGAGTGTTAAAAATGCTCTGCACTGTAAATTAATTCTTTCTGAAAGTATAATTTTTCAGGAGTCAAAAGAGGACAATAAATGTCTTACGACTTAAAAAAAATCCCGTTATAAATATGATTGGGAAATTTGAAGTACGTTGTAAAACTGTTAAAATCTGCAGTAGTTTCACATTTCACTGATGTCTGAGTGTGTGATCCCAAATGATTTATAATAGTAGCTGACAAGACTGGTAAGTAGATACAGACACATTAAATATGTTATCATGAAGACTGATTTCTTAACGTGACTAATGGTGACTCTCTTTATTCAACATTATTTATCTCAAATAATTCATAAGTTCTAGTCAATCTTACCAGAAGTATCTCTTTTCTATTGCAACTCAGAGCTCATTATTGAGAT